AAAAACAGTGTAAGTGCAGGTTTGGGACCTTTGCATTGGCACAAATCAATAGGTTTGGGATCAAAGAGGCAGCTAACACACTTAGAAATAAGAACAACATATTTTTATACAGCAGCTTTCACTTGAGGACCTGGAGGACAAAACAAAACAAAACTTTCATGCCTGTTAATTAGCTAAGCCTCAACACCAGCAGGGGAAAGAAACTGTTAACAAATTATTGTTCTTTATTACTTCGGCATTCCCATTTTACAGAATAAATACAATGCAAATCAAGTCACGGACCTATGGTCACCCAGTAAAGCTCCTAATATAGAATATAAGGAACCTGTTCATTGTCCCCTGCTCTACTTTGCCATACTCCTTTCCAAACTATTATATCTTTCTCAGCTCCTAACAGTTCATTTTGCAGTGTCTTGGAGAAATAAGAAGAGCTGGGGAAAATTACAGGTATGTGGTATTTGTTTTCCAAAACAGAAAGAAAAGTGATCATGACAATAAACCCAGCAAATCTAGCCTTGGATTCTAGTAAAATAATGACAAAAGTCAGGGTAGAAGAATTAAAAACTGGAAATATTGGTTGCTTTTCTTTGATAGCATTACAAAATTAGTGGAGAAAGGGAAAGAAGATGAAGGACAGCCAGATTTTGGTGAAGCACTTGGCATGGTTTTTCATGACATTTTACTTGCAAAATGAATGCAAAGAGGTTTGGATATGAGTGCTGTTACACAGAGAGCATTGGAAACTAAACCACAAATAGCAGTTTATAACAAATGGCAATTTATAATTAAGTTGAGGGAGGTCGTCAGAGGGATGTTAGGTTTTGGTCTTATTTATCATCTTCATTAACAAGCTGGAAGAAGGAGTAAAGACAGACTTTTAATGAAATTCATTTATTCAAATTCTAAGACACTGAAGTCAGCAATGAGCATAGAAGGAAAAGGGGCCTGTGAAGTTAGATATATGGGTGGAGTATACTGAACTCACTCATATTCATCTTAGAACAATGCAAGAAAGCGTGTCTAGGGAAAAAAAAATTGGAAGCGCAGTGTTTAACGAGAAAGAGACTCTTGGAAATTGGCAACAGTGAAAGAGGCCTAGGTAGGGAAAGGGATATCAAATGAGAGATGAATTTGCAATGCCATATGGAGTTAAAAATGTGATTTAGGGTTCCATGTACAGAGTTATAACATCACAGAACAAAAACATAACTCATTTTACGGCAGTTGTCCTCAAAATTGTTCGACTCATGGCACCCCTCATGAGACTCAAGGTACCAATCAGAAAATGCGTGGTCTTAAGTTTCACTCATTTCCTGATTGTGGGAAAATAATAGAGCAATTCTTCTGTTTCAAAGCAGTCAGAATAATCACAACAGATTAAAGTGGTTTTGACACTAAGGATTCCTATTTGAAATCTCTGGGTTTATCTTGTGAATCATGTCTAGGTGTTTGCACATCTAACAGTACTAATACTACATGGCATGCTGAGAATCACTGTTTTAGTGGCCTGATCCAAGTCCAGCTGCATTGTGGATCAAGACCTGTACAGCATGTGCATTAAATTAAAATATTCAGTTCAGTTCTGGCCCCTTCCACACCAGAGCATTTTTTAGCAGGCAGTGACCTTTATTTTGGGCAGTGATAAAAAGCAAACAAACTTCCAAGTGAAATATAAAGAACTGAAATTACAAGTAATACAAACAAAAGTAGTGGGTGATCTAAGTGTCTTAGGTTCAGTTCTCTTCTCAGGCTATTAGACTCTGGAACAGTTTCCCAAGGGAAACCATGGATATCTTCAACTGGACTGCTCAATGTGAGGCAGCACATTGCATAAAAAACAACTCTGCATTGGCAAAAGCCGAGGGAGGTGGCAGAGAAAAGAAAAGGTTGTTACCTAATCAGTTGCTGCCATCTCTAACTCCAGGGCTCTATAATTCTTCAGGAGGAATAATTATATTCAGTGAAAAGTGCGTCCTTTGCAAGGAGGAAGTGCTAGTCCAGGGGCTGTCAACCAGGGGTACGTGTACCCCTAGGGGTACTTGAGAAGACCCTAGGGGGTATGCATGGGTAGGTAGGGACAGAGTGCCGCCATGCACCATCCCATGCTGCCGTGCAGGCGCCACACACCCAGCCAGACATGGGGGGTGGGAGAAACTCGCACGCGGAGGCTGCTGTCACGCCACGTTCGGCCGTGCACCTCCCCAACACGTCCAGCCGCTGGAGGTACACTGCTCTGCGTCCGGCCACCGGGGCTACACTGATCCAAAAAGGTTGAAAAGCCCTGTGCTAGAGTCAGTTCCTGTATCCATTATTTCTTCTGCTTTTCCCTTTTCCATGTGTTTTGCCCACCCTCATTCCTTTCCCTCCTACCACTCTTTAACACACTTGTCTTCTTCCTCCTCTTCCTTCAGTAATACCATATGGCTCAGACTCTCACCCTTCCCTGCAAGAATGTATAGGCCACAGTCCCTGTTTCTGATGGCTCAGGTCAAACCTGAGCAGCTGATACTTACCCAGCAGAACCAGAGAATTTGGGTCAAGCTTGTATTCTGTCTGGTAAGACAGGCTGCCTGTGCTGTTGATGCTGGCAAGAAGCTCCCTGTTTAGTGTCACCTTCACCCTCTCAGCAGTCATCCCCTTGTGCTGACTCTCAGGCATTTGAAGGGCGAACCAGAAGAAGAAGGTCAGGGAGCCCTCCCTAGCAGGGAAAGAGCACATTAAATTCCTTCCTTCTGTTCATTTCAAGTCAGATACATCTGCTACAAATCGTCATAACAACAGCCCTAGAGACAAGTGCTCTTTTTATTCACAGTGTGAGCTCCCCAAAAGCCACAATCTCACCAGTATGCTCTAGTTTAAACCTGGACAGACAACCTTGAGTAAAATAGAGGAGTTAGCATGTCTGTGGGCTGTTCAATATTTGTTCTCTCTGTTTCACCTGTCTGCAAGCCATTTTGTGCTAATAAGAATGGTAGTTTTAATGACATTGATACCTTCCCAAAGTAGGGTAAGATCATAGAATCATAGAAAGTGAGGGTTGGAAGGGACCTCAGGAGGTCATCTAGTTCAACCGCCTGCTCAACCCCAACTAGATCATCCCAGGCAAAGCTTTGTCTAGCCGGGTCTTAAAAACATTCAAGGATGGAGATTCCACCACCTCACTGGGTAACCTGTTCCAGTGCTTTACTAATATTCCAGGTCTTCCTAATATCTAACCTAAACTTGAGACCGTTGCTCCTTGTTCTGTCATCTGTCACCACTGAGAACAGTCTAGCTCCATCCTCTTTGGATCCCCACTTCAGGTAGCTGAAGGCTGCTATTAAATCCCCCCTCAGTCTTCTCTCCTCCAGACTAAATAAGCCCAGTTTTCTCAGCCTCTCCTCATCAGTCATGTCCCCCATCTACCAAACCATTTTGTTGCCCTCCACTGGCCTCCCTCCAATTTGTCCACATCCTCTCTGTAGTGGGGGGGGGACCAAAACTGGACACAGTACTCCAGATGTGGCCTCACCAGTGCTGAATAGAGGGGAAAAATCACTTCCCTCGATCTGCTGGCAATGCTCCTACCAATGCAGCCCAGTATACTATTAGTCTTCTTGGCAACAAGGGCACACTGCTGGCTCATATTCAGCTTATTGTCCACTGTAAGCCCCCAGGTCCTTTTCTGCAGAGCTGCTGCTCAGCCAGTCAGCCCCCAGCCTGTAGCAGTGCATGGGATTGTTCTGTCCTAAGTGCAGGACTTTGTACTTCTCTTTATTGAACCTCATGAGATTTCTTTTGGCCCAATCCTCTGATTTGTCTAGGTCACTCTGAATCATTAATTTCATTTTCAGGATCATTAATTTCATTTTTATCATCTACTTAATGTTCCTCAAGCAGAAAATATATTTATTCACTATTGACTACGGAGTTGAACTGTTGACTATTAAGGTCCAATATCCATATTTCAGGAGTGACAATTCATGATTCATCTGGCCATTATAAACCTTTACTCTTGTGCTGGGGCCATTGGTACACTGCAGAAGACAGTGAATGCAGACAGATCCTACAATACCCAGAACAGATTGAGCTGGAGAGACTGACATGTGAAGGCCAAACTTTTGTTCCAAGAAGGGCTGGTTAAAAAATTCTGAATGAAACAATTTTTCCCATTGGAAATATACATTTGTTTTCAAATTCAAAGTTTTCCATAGGTGCAGAACTAGTTTGGTGTGCTCTTCCCTGGGAAAATCAAAGTGAATTATTTTGTGTTAAGCTGACATTCCCCTTTGCATCTGCCTGAGTCATAAAGGTGCCCTTTGGGAGTGGTAGTTCTCAGGTCTTCTATTCCACTGTTTCCTTTAGGCCCAGTTTTCTGACCAGACTACATTTCCCATAATGCACCAGTGTCTACTAATAGAGCATTTCATATTAGGTTGACAAACTAAATTCATGTTTTGATTCAAGAATGGGCAGATATTTCATTTGGACCAAAAAGTCAAAACAACACTTTTGATATTTCCTTGTTTTTTTTCCCTGAATTTTATATTTATGGGATATTTCAATATTTTGTCTTCTCGAAATAAAAAATCTCAAGATATCAGTATTTCTGGCAGGATGGAAATTCCTCTTTTTGTTCAGTCAAGTCTGCCTTAATCCAGAGCTCACATTGGCTAAGGACAGAGGCTGCAGCAGCTCTTGTCGGATAAGCAGGTGCCTATCAAAAAAGGTTACAACCCAAGTATAAATTTCACATATGGGTGGCATGGGAGTAATACTCACCCAAAGGCATACACTGTGCTGGAGTTGTAATATGAACTCAGCTCCGTGGCACGAATAAGTTGTTTCATCTGTAACGACAAAAATGCCATCTGATCCCTACCTGGCTATGATACCATGTCAAACCACCTGAAACCGACCCAGTGTTTCTGCCTTCTCTGCTTGTGGTATAACCCCGGCAAAAACTTGATCTGCATGAATGTCTGTGACCCATAATCCCACTCCCTGAATTGCCTCAGGGGCAACCCTACTCATGAAACCATTCCCACCATCTTCTGTAGCTTGGCTGATTCAGTCCAGAAGGCTCTGGATTCCAGCCGTCCAAGGTCCAGGGAGTACTGGTGATTGAGGATCCGGAGGCTACCAGAGTAGAACTGCAGGATGGTTGGTTCCAGAAACTGTGGTCTGTAGTCTGCCAACAGATGACATAGATAGATTAGCCTGTGAATGTGAAGTCTAGTAAGGCACTGGTGTTTGTATCTTTATGCAGGCGATGGGGTGGTGGTCATCCATTGCTGTATGTCCAGAAGTCACTGACTCCCCTTGGACTGGATGTGGACCAGTTCCATCCTTGCCAGCCCATATCAGCCCCAGTGTAGAGAGCAAATCACCCATTACCTACAAAATACCAGGTCAGCACTCCAGCTCCAGCCAGAAGAACAAGGACAATCCAGAGAGGTGCATAGCGCAGGCAGTTCTGTGTCGTGCTCTTAGGTTTATCCTCAGATGAGGCTTTCACATCCTCCTCCTGCTCTTCGGCCTCCATCATGGTCACCTAATGAAGCAGAAAACCAGTGATCAGGCCAGCTCTTCTATATGCCTCTTTCTCATTACCAGCAAGCCTTCTATCATCTATTATGCGCCTCTTCACTTATCTATGCATTTCCTTGTTGTTTACCTGCAAATACCAGAGACCTTGCTCCATGCTTTCACAAGTAAAACTCCTCCCAAAATCCAGTTGGAGTTCATCCAGTTTTTGCTGAGGCAGGGACTGAGTTAGGCCTTTAGGGTCTTGCCCTGAAAATATATTCCCTAAATATCTAATGTCTTAATATTTTAAGGCTTCCCTAGCCTAGCTAGGTGTCCTCCCCAAATGTCACTGAATGCACCAGCATCACCTCTG